TGTACTTTTTGCCTAACTCTGGAAGGAGGCGCAGGGTGACCATGAACCTTTAGCAAGTGTTAGTTAAAAAAAGAAATTAAACAAATATTTACCTACAAAATTGACCAAGTTTATTCTGTCTGACTGAATACAAGGCGCATAAAAAGCTGAATGAAGTGTTGCCAAGATTAACTAGTTGTCTCCAGCCAAGAAGGGGAGAGCAGGAGACAGCCGTATCACACGACTGGGGTATTTTTTAAAAAATGCAAAAGACCACCTTTCTCTTCCACAGGAAAAGGATTATTTTATTAAGTATTTAAAACAACTACTTAACATTGACTCATAGATAAAAATATTTACAATTTCACACCTTCAGGAAGGCTCCAAAATATAAACACTGTACCTCTCCCTAGAGAAAAAAATTCTTCTCTTCAAAAACAGGAATACATTCATTTTTCTCACTTTGTGGATCAAGTAATTATACAAATAAACATCTGAAACATTTCCTGTTTAATATACTTATATAATATATATTTATAACAGTTTTACAAATAAAGGCAATGACTTTATACCAAAATAAAAACAGGAAAAGAAAAAGTTAAAACACCATCGGCGATCAAGCATAGTGCATTTTGAGAAAAGCTGGTGCAGGGCTAGCTGGACAAGTCAGAAAACAAGTACTCTGGACCAAAAATAAAACTTCTTTGAAGGAGACAGAATCCTTTTTAGCAATAAGGACACTCCCTATGCCGTCGGGCGAGGGGCATTAGCCTGCAGAAAGGATCTTGCTGTGCCAAGAGCTGGTTAGGCCTGTAAGCTAAGCTTGGTTAAAAGGAGTTTTAGGATAGAACTGAAAACCGAGTCTAGCTCTGCTTGTTGAAGGTAGCAATTTGTTACTTGGCTTTACGCATTCTGGAACTTAGGCACCTGCATCTCTCAGACCCTGCTTTGGTTCCCAGGACAGCAAGATTGTTTTCTAGGTGAGACTTAGAAACAGGTGCCATAGGGCCCAAGGATGTCTCCCTCATTCCTGGCAGCTCAGCTTTACCAGGGGGCCCTTTTCAGTTCCTTATTAAGCTAATCACTAGGAAAGCCTGAGTAGGGAACTACATTCTCTTTATTCATCGGAGGCAGGGGGTGGGGAGCAGACCTGTAGAAATCTCCCCAAACCGCTACCATGCTATGCCAGTGTCTGCTACCTCACCACTTAGCAGAAAGTTCAGTGTGGCTGCCCTCTCCCCGTGTGGTGAGTCATGGCAACAATAAAAGAGAGAAGGGTGGGGTCATAAGAGCTGGCTGGGAACAGCGCTCTGGAAAGCCCTCTTTTGAAAGTACCTTTTTCTCAAAGCCACAGACCCGGCTCCCAAAATGAAGACTGACTCACAGACCAAGACTTTGAAGCTTTTGAAAATCCATCTGATTTGTCTGTATCTGAGGGGGCTATTCTCTGGGTGGGGGAAAGCCCAGAGATCTGCTACAATCCCCCCTAAATCTCCTGATGTCAGGCAATCCTTCATATCTTCCCTACGCCAGAAGGAGCTTTCATGTCCTATACCAACACACGATGTGCGTGTGCGTGCACACACACGCACCCCAAATCTTCTCTCCGTGCCTCAGATTATCTCAGCGTACACAACTAGAGCAATCTTGCTGTAGTCACACTTTCTTTTTTTGGGGGGACGGGAGTAGGGAGGAAGGAAAGCAGAGCAGCAGGGTCCCCTAGTCTTTGGTTTCTAAGTTTAAAGGGGGGATCTGCTTCAAAGCTTGGAGCAGGGCAGAAGAGTCGATGGCCGGATGTGCTGGCAAGGGAGAAGGGAGTCTCTGGGGCATGAGCAAGGGGGCTGAGATCTTGTCTGGGTTCATGAAGCTGGTGAGGGCTGCTGCAGAGGCGTTGAGGCCCGGGTATAACACGGGGACAGAGGTGGGATACCAGCACTTCTCCAGCATGGGCAAGTAGGCAGTTGCTGACGGCGGGATCAGATAGAAGGGCAGACAGAAGGGAGGTTGGTGTGGGTGTGGGCCCAAGAACGGGGAGCTGATCAGGTCACTGCCAGTGAAGTGGCCTTCATCATCGGAGAGCTGCATTCTGCTCTTTTTTGTTGGGGGTTCTTCCGATTCTTGCTTAATAACACCGATCCTTTCTCCCATGGTGAACCTGCGTCCATGATCGCTTTTGAAATACTGCTGCTCACCACGCAAGTCACCCTTCTCGGATTCTCCTCCATAGCCACTGTCTGTGTCCGTGTCACTGCCACTCTGCTCCCCGCTTGAGTGAGCGAAAGTCCGCTGGATGACCGGCACACAGTTTTTCCCAGGGCCTTCAGAGCCTTTGGCCAGGGAGCTGGGTTTCTCCTTGAAGTCCGTGGCTTTGGGAGCTGGGTCTGACGGTTTCCTGGAGGTACCTCCCTGCAGCAGCTCTGAGACCACACGGTGAAGGTGGGTGACTAGCTGCGAAGACTTCAGGTCCCGGGTGTTCTCATGCTTGGCCAGGTACTGAAGCACCTCCCGGGCACACGTCTGGAAACCTGAGCAGAACATCTCTTGACCTGCTTCAACATTTCTCCCCGACAGCTCACCTGGATCGACACAGATCCAAAGGAAGACATTTCAGAAGGCCCTGTGGTTCACCTGGATACCTACACCTCAAAAACTGGGAGCTTTCCTTTCCGTTATTAGCATTCACTGATTTGTGTTCCTAACTCCAAAAGTAATATGATCAGAAAAAATTGGGGTTATACTGAAAAGTACAAATAATAGAACAAAAATAATCCATTATCCTACCAGAGGTAAAATATGAGTTGTAATGGTTGCATAACATCCCATCACAGAAACAGAACATAATTAATAGAGATGGGACTATTTTCCCTCTTGTTGAATCGACAGCTTGTTCCTGAGTTTTCATTATACATGACACAGCAGTGAACATTCTATGTTTATAACTAGAGTCGATTTATAGAACATCAGTCTTACCAGAGCAAGACTGGACAGAGACCATAGAATGCAATAAAGAATGAGGATACGATGTTACCCAAGGAAGCTTACTTTCCATTAAAAAGTTGCAGTTGTGCTGCAATCTTTAAATTTCAAAGCTATTTCTAAGCCTTTTCCATGTATTCTATCCACAAGTCCTGAGAAATCAGGTATGATCATCTTCCTATTTTCAATGAAGAAACTGGCAGAAGCACCTGCTAGGTTTTTGTGATTCTCATCATACTAGTCTTGGAAAGAAGGGCGAAAGAATGGAATAAGGGAGTGGGTAGAAGAATTTCTTCCCGGACTGTACAGTATTATTTGGAAGGGGTGAAACTAGAAGGTTACAAGGTGACTGTGATTCTCTGGAAGTTGGAAGAAACTAATGATGAAACTTCAGCGGTTTCATTAGATTGTGCAATTCACCAAGATACCTAGTGGCTATTCAGGGAACCACATGAAATGCAGGAAAAGCTCCTGCTGTCATCCTGCCAGGATCATACCACACACAGAGTGATAAGGAAGTAGAGAAACAGGAAAACACTGGGGCATACCCATGATTTATTCTCCAATGAAAGAGGACTAAGAAGACCAACTGTAAAACACCCACGGTACAAATTATAGGTGCCTTGGCATTTTAAACAGGAGGGGGAAAATGTCCCAGAACCCAGAAACCCTTAAACCAAAATGCCACGGAAATATTTTACCACTTGACTAATACGTATTCATGCCAGGTGGCACGCAGCAGCATTCCGAATGAAAAGTCTGACCTTTTAGGAAAGATAAAATGACATCTCCCCCAACGAATGTGCATAAGCAATTTCTTGTAGGAATGTTCCTTATACCAGATGTTGAGCCCACAGGCTATTTGTGCTACAACTCTTAGGTGATGATAACCAGACTCGGGCACTCACCAGCTTGTAAACCGCTCTGCAGGGCAATGATTTTCTGCTGCTGCTGGTCAATTAGGTTTGTTAGTGCTTTCACATGCTTCAAGGTAAGTTCCAGAACCACTGCTTTTTCCAAGTGACCCAAAGTCTGGAATAAAAAGAGGCTTAGTCAACAGTGAGCTCAGAGAAGTCCCACCTCTGGGACACTTATTAGCAATGGGAAATATCTCTAAAGGAAAAAAAAAATGAAATAGCCTTTCCTGGTTGACTACATTTAGTTTTAAGTTTGGAGATGATGTTTTTAAAAAGTGTGTGTTTGTATACATACATGCACACACTTCTGATTAAAGAATAAAAAATGAGCGTCTCTTATCTTTGAAGGCATTTGGGAAGAGGCAGCTACATTAGGAGAAAGCTCTGACAGATAAATTTCTCCAGCAGCCGCAGCTGACCTTAACTCAGGGGAATCCAGAGATAACATTTCTCTGCAGTAGTGTCAACCTGAGGAGGGACTTCTACTGTGTCTGGCAGCCAAGAGGCTTCCCCTAGCTTCTTTCCTGACGCCCTTTCATAACTTTCAGCTCATCCAGGCTTTTTACTTCCTCCTCAAATACTATTTTTTTTTTCGTTTCCCCAACCAAAGGCTGCCAAAGCCAGTAAGCTGTTGGCTACCGCCAAGAAAGGACAGAACATAAATATCACGCACCCAAACAAGCCCTCTTTATTTTTAAAAAGGGGGAGGGCCAGAGAAAGAGGGTAAATAAAATCTGCGTGTTCCTTGGTTTACCCAAGTCAGCAAAACTAAAGAACCCTGAAAATCACCAGAAAGGAAAGGCTTAAACTCTTGAAAACGAAGACTAGTTGGTGTTGCAGCCAACTTGGAGAAGTCCAAGCGGTTCTCACCTCATCTGCATGAGGCTGCCAGAAAAATCCCAGGGCTGGGGAAGGGTACCCCAAAACTGCCACCCGCAAGCAAGCTCTTGAGCCGCGCATCTGGTCTGCAGTTCCGCGTGGGGCCTGCAGGCGGCGAATGACCCCGCCCGCTCTCTGGGCAGAAGAGCTGGCTTGGAGAGGGGCCAGATTCTCACTTACTGTAAGTTTGAGATGTTCGGGTAGGAGATCCTTCAGCTGGGCGATGCACTCGTTAATCCGGTCACGTCTCTTTTTCTCGATGAGCCGGTGCGGCAGTTTGTAGGTCTCCTGCAAGGCGCACGGGAAGGCGGTGGGCACCAGAGGAAGCGGGTGAGAAGCCCCTCTCCTCCCCCACCCCGTGGCGCGGTTAAGAGTTGGGGCCGCGGAGTCACACCCAGAACCACTTTCTGCCCCTTCTAGTCCAAGCCATTTCATAGAAGCATCAAGCCCACACCTTGCATAGCCCAGCCAAGCTCAAAGTGAGAAAACTTTTCTTGGAAACAGCGCGCGCCAGGGTCTGGGGTCCCGAGGGGCGCGGTGTTCTTACCTTGCTATCCTCGCTCCGCTTTATTCCCCGCCTCGATTTGTACACTTGGTACATGTGGGCAAAATCCATCCTGCAGGGAGAGGGGCCAGGTAGGGTCGTGACTTCGCGTGCGCATAGGCTGCAGGAGCCCTGGTAAAAGCCCCCCGGATGCGGCCAGAGCTGCTCCGAGTCGAGAGCCGCGCAGAACGCAGGGCTGGAGCCGAGGCTTGAAGGGGCCGGGGAGTGCCAACTTACCCAGGTAGGTCTCCGGGCTCCAGTCCTGGAGCTTTGGGCAGGCAGGCGGGGGGCGGTTGCGCGCTGGGGATCCGCTCCATGGCGCGGCGAGCCGGGGCCACTGTGCACTCCTGTCTGCGGTAGCGGAACGTCGGGGTGAGGACTGTCCTGCAAGGGGCTTCCAGGGGCCGGGGGGTGTCTCCGCAAGGATTCCTCTGGGTCTGAGCTCCCTGAAATCCGCTTGGGCTGCCGGGCGCTGCGGCTTTGAGGTGCTGCTTCAGTTGGGGGCGTGCATGGTGTCCCCGCGGCCTCTGGCTCCGGCTCTGCGCACAGACTGGCGGTGTGTGCTCCCTGCGCCGTCTGCGCGATGCGAGCCAAGTGAATGAGAAGTGGGGCGGGCGGGGAGGCGGGAGGGAGCTCGGAGCGGGGGGGGGCCGGCTAGGGTGGCGGGGGGTGGGGGGTGCGAGCTGAGGAGTAATGGAGAGGCTGCGGGCTGGGTTAAATGGGAGCGAGTGGGTGGGTTTGAGCTACGTGTTCTACCCTGTGACTCCAGGCACGTCTGGCCGCTGCCAGGGAGGGAAGGAGCGACCTGCCCGCCCTCCCCCGGCTTCATCACATGAGTCTCACGTGTTGGACAACGCTCCCGCGACTGCGAGGGAGCCCCCACCCCCAGCCCTGGCCCCCAGGTGTCTGCGGCTGCGGCTGCCTTTCCCCGAAGAGGGGGTGGCAGCACGGCCTGGGTCCTGCCCAACCGGGTGGGGGGCGCGGAAGCTGGAAGGGGCCGGGGAGCCGCTGGGGCCGGGTGGGGGGGGGGTTGGTAACGTGGGCGAACCTGCCCCAGGGAAATGAAGTAAGTTCCCGTCTCCTGGGAGGGAACGGGGGAGGACGGATCCGCCCGCGTCTGACTCAAGCCGGGAGAGGAATATCCCCTCGCTCGCTCCAGCCCAACCCTCTTCCTCCTCCCCCGCCCGGCCGGCTCCGAGGAACCGGCGCGCAGCGGAGGGAGTCGCCCGGCCCCCCTGCCGTCCCCAGAGGCTGGTGTTTCTTTCCGTCCCGGCTTCCCCGCCCCCAGCCCTCAGCCGGGCGTCCAGGAATTGCCCGCCGTGGGGAGGGGCCGAGGGGCGGGGCGGATGTCACCCCATGGGAAGCGGGCTGGCAGCCAAGCGCAGGGGCAGCCGAGGCCGCTGCCGAGCACGCTGCGCGCACCTGACCGCGGAGCGTGTGCGCCACGGCCCCCTCGCTCCCCGGGAGCTCCGCTCCTGGGTACAGCCTGCGGGCCGGCGGGCACCCTCTTGCGCACCCCCCGGGTGTCCCAGTGCCCACTTCCACCCCACTTCGGCTAGTCCGGCACAGAAAGATACCGGGCGCGGTGCCCTGCGTTCCCTCCCTCCCCTGCCCCCTCCGGAGCAGAGGCTCCCGGGTCGCCTTCCCCTCCGGCTGCAACGTTACACAACTGCGGTGGCGACGCCTGCCCTGCAGCAGCACGGGGCGTGACGCTTCACGTGGCCAGAGCCCGGGCCACAGGGCCGCCGCCTGCGAGTCCCTCTGCGTCGCCCGTGGGACCCAGACCCCGGGGACGCGGTGTGCCCGCCGGGGTGGGCCATCTCCCTGCCTGCCAGGAACTTGGGCGGCGCTGTTGGCGGTCTGCACCCGGAGCGGGAGGAAAGAGAGAGACTAGAAAAAACTGTGTGTCCATCACATTGAAATCTTAGCATTCATTCAGTCGATACACATTTGTTGAGGCCCCTCCTGTGTGCCGGGCGTTGTGACCGTTGCTAGAGATACTGTGGGGAATCAGACAGATTCTGCCCTTGAATTTACAGGAACCTCTGGAAAAAGGATAAATTGGGCAATGAGGGGAAGGCAGCCCTGGGAAAATTATATAGGTGCCACTGGCTGCCAGAAAAAAGATAAGTTTGTTTTGTTTTGTTTCAAAATTTATTTAATACGGACCAAGATGCATGGGAAGAGAAGGAGGAAGCTAACCCACTGCCCTGAGCTTGGGGCAGAAAGGCCTCCCCCAAGCAGCCCCAGATCTCCGTAAAGCGCGCTGGTGGGCGGGGGGAGCGGAGGGGGACCTACGTCCCCCGGCAAAGTCCGGGCTCTGTGACCTTCTAACTCAGCCTGGAGCAGGGAAAACAGCTGAAACTCCAAGCCCGCGGTATGAGCCGCGCTGATGCAGTCAGAGGAGGGAGCCAGTGGAAATTCATGACTAAAATAAGGCCTGGCTGGGGATTTCACTGACCTCTGCGCTGCCCTGCCCTGCAAGTTCGGGGAGTTGAGAGATGACTGTAAGCCGTGGCCTGGCGGTGGGAAGGATTGGAAAAAACAAAAAACGGGGTCGCTGCGGGGACTGGGTGAAGCTTCTCGGGCGCAGTTTGGGGGTGTCAGTCTTAATTGGCAGTGTCCTTGACAACCTAGAGAACTGGGATTCACACTTTGACCAAACTGGGAGTGGATTTCCTTCAGGTCGCTTTGGAGAGCTCCCACTTCCTGTTTATGTTTCACAAGCGTCGAACTCATTAGCAAGTGTGAGAAATGCCTCCTTTTCTAACTAACTGGCGTGACCTCTCTTGGGGGCTTAGGGATCCTTCCCTCCCAGAATGTACTTTTGCTGGTTTCTGTTGTCAGCCATCTCTAGGGAGGGAATGATTGCGCCGCAGCTTCCTGCCGGGAGGTGGGCAGCAGAACCACAGAGGAAGGAGGGGACCGGCCTGCCCGGGTTTGTGCTTTCAATCTAGGGCGACCTGCTTCATTGTGCGACTTTAGTAAGGGTGAAGGATTGTCATGACTGCACCAAAACCACAGTTCCACCAGGAAAGAAGCGCTGGGGGAGGAAGGAACACCTGTCCCTGAACCATCATACATCTCGCTCCCCCCATGCCAGACATGAACCCAAACATTTCAGTTTCCATGGCACAGTGTCGTTCTTAGAATGTTTTGATGTTATCAATACTTTTTGTCCTTACCTGTTCTACAGTTGGAAATAACAAAATATATGCATTTCCTACTTTTTGTTCCAAATGCATTCTTAAGCTTCAAGAAATATCTCCAAGTAGAAAAAGAAAGAATCTCCACCCTACAAAAGTTCTATCCTATCCAGATTTTATATATTTTATACCGTTTCCAGATTTTATATATTTTAAACCATTTAGTCTGTTTTTCTTTTCTCAATAGCTTGTGATTATTTTTTCATCAATTTAAACAAAATAATTCCTTCCCAGCCTGCATCTTTCCACCCTGAAGAATCTTAAAATTTCACTGTCATCTTTTGTAGATACTTGTTTAATGTTGTTTTATTTTTTAGACTGCAAAAACTTTGTCTATGTTAATTCATTTAGTCCTCCCCCCCACCCTATAAGGCAGGTATTAGCTTATTTTTACATTCATTTAACACATATTTATTGAGAACCACTATGTGCCAGGCACTGAAGTAGATCCTAGGAATATATGTGTCCTCTTAAGGAAACTGAGGCTCAGGGAGGTTAAATAACCTGCCCCAGGTTATATAGCCTGAGATTAGATCTGGAACGAGACCCTAGGTTTGTTTGGCTCCGAAGCTTGTACTCTTAATCATTCTACTCTCGACTGCCTGGTAGGGTTGTTATGAGTTATGCACTGTTCAACTCCAGGGGGAGCCATTCGCATCACAGTCTGTGTGAGAGCACCCTCTCGAGTTGTGCATTGTAGCACTGAGCAGCTGCACTGGGTACTTCTGACATTTTGTAGCCCTCCCCTCTGCTTTGTCCTTTTAAGTGTAGAGAGAACATAATTTTGTACAGGGAAGGACCGGATTTTCCTTTTCTTTTCCTACTGAGACTCAGCATTTTGAAGATCTGATGCTGTGTGCTGGGGAGAGTCTATACTGTTACCTGGCCCCTTCCTGTGTAGGAAGTTAGAGCTCACTTTCTTTCTTGCTCAGATAACATCATTTTTTGTCTGTTTATGGATCCTCAGGAAATTTTTTTATCACATTTCACATATCACATTTTTATGTATCAATAAACACATACAAACACGTACACTTTAAGGACATTAAGCATAGGGCAGCCAAGTACTGATGGGGCTATGGCAACAAGCTGCCACTACCTTCTCTCTCTTACTACTGAGTAACCATTGCTCACTTAAAGAAAAACTTAAACCATTTAGGAAGAAGCCAGCTCAATGTATTTTGGACACCTGGGTGGCTCAGTTGGTTAAGTGTCTGCCTTCAGCTCACGTCGTAATCTCCGTGTCCTGGGATGGAGCCCTCGAGTGGGCTCCCCTGCATGGGCTCCCTGCTCAGCAGGCAGTCTGCTCCTCCCTCTCTCCCTGCCCCTCCCCCCTTGTGCTCAAGTGCCACGCGCACTCTCTCTCTCTCAAATAAAATCGTTAAAAATTTGTTATAAAACAATATCTCCTTGATATGTGAATTCTGATATTTTCTAGTCTAGTCTAGTCAATTTTATTTAAAAAATATTCTGGTCTTGGGGTTCCTGGGTGGCTCAGTTGGTTGGGTGGCTGACCATGGATTTTGGCTCAGGTCATAATCCCAGGGTCCTGGGATCAAGCCCCGGGACAGGGTCTGGGCTCAGTGGGGAGTCTGCCTGAGGATTCTCATTCTCCCTCTCCTGCCCCTTCCTCTGCTTGTGTGCCCACACGCTCTCCTTCTCTCTCAAATAAATAAATAAAAATCTTAAAAAAATATATTCTGGTCTTTACTTGATAAATTGATTTTACAATCCACCAATAAATCCTGACCTACAATTTGAAAATGTGTTCTCTCCACTAGAGATAGTGTTGTAATTTTAGCTTGTCCCCACCAGAAAGAAATCAATAGCATTTGTACACTTGAAGATCTTTAAAATCACTTATAAAAATGTTAAATAAGACTGTTGGTTCTGGGGGCACCTGGGTGGCTCAGATGGTTGAGCATCTGCCTTCGGCTCTGGTCGTGATCCTGGGATCCTGGGATCGAGTCCCGCATCGGGCTCCCTGCTCCTTGGGAGCCTGCTTCTCCCTCTGCCTCTCTCTCTCTCTGTCTCTCATGAATAAATAAATTAAAAAAAAAAAAGACTTGGTTCTGGTTGAATTCAGTGTTATTAATGTCTGCATTCAGGATATCCTTGCCTTATGCTCAAATGTAGAAGTAAAAATATTCAGAGTTTCATCAATACACATAATGTTATATGCTGGTGAAATGTAGTTCCTTCCTTCAGCTGAGGATGTTTTCTTCTATTGCTACATCTCTGAGAGAGTTTGTCATAAAGGATATTGAAGTTGTCAAATGCTTTTTCTGCATCAAATGAGACACTCATATGGTTTTTTCTTTCATTTTGTTACTATCATGAATTACAATCTGTTAAATGTTAAACCAGGGGCGCCTGGGTGGCTCAGTCGTTAAGGGTCTGCCTTCAGCTCAGGTCATGATCCCAGGGTCCTGGGATCGAGCCCCGCATCGGGCTCCCTGCTCAGCGGGAAGCCTGCTTCTCCCTCTCCCACTCCCCCTGCTTGTGTTCCCTCTCTCGCTGTCTATCTCTCTGTCAAATAAATAAATAAAATCTTAAAAAAAAATGTTAAGCCAACCTTGAATTCCTGAAATAAGCCAGTCTTGATCAATCTATTATCCTTATTTTTATTGGTAGATTTGATTTGCTAGTATTTGCGAGGGATTTTGTGTCTGATTGTGTTGGGTATACATCTGTAGTTTTTCTTATAATCTTTGTCAGGTTTTGTTGTCACAGTAACGCTGGCCTCATAAAACAAGTTGGGAAATTTTTCTTCTTTTTTCTGAAAGAGCTTATGTAGGATTTGGTACTATTTCTTTCTTAAATAGTAGGAGATGCTGCCTGGGCCTGGAATTTTCTTTACGGGAAGGTTTTTACTATGTATACATTTTCTTCAATAGATGCCAGATATTTAAAATTTTTATTCTTGGGAATAAAGAAGCGCCTGGGTGGCTCAGTGAGTTAAGCATCTGCCTTTGGCTCAGGTCATGATCCCGGGGTCCTGGGATGGAGCCCTGCTCCAGATCAGCAGGGAGTCCTCTTCTCCCTCTCCCTCTGCCCCTCCCCACTGTGCTCTCGCTCTCTCTCTCAAATAAATAAATAAAATCTTAATAAAAGTACTAAAATTCTTACTCTGTTCTCAGTTTTGGTAATTTTTATTTTTTAAGGAATTTGTCTAGTTCATTGAGATTTGTTAATATATTGGTAAAAAGTTTTATCCCTTTAATGTCTATATAATCTAAAGTGATAAACACTTTCTACTCTTTTAAAAAATTTTTGTTAATTTGTGTTTTCTTTTTTTTCTTGATCATCTTGCTAAGAGTTGTATTAATTATATTAATCTTTGCAAATACCCAAATTTTTATTTTATTTTGATTTTTCTCGATTGTTCATTTTAAAGTTGATCAATTTTCTCTCTTATTTTTCTTATTCCCTTTCTTCTAGCTATTTTGGATTTAATTTGTTCTGAGTTTTCTAGTTTCTTGTGATGTAAGGTAATATCACTGATTTTAAACCTTTCTTATAAGTATTTAAAGCTAAATTTTAAGTATTTATAAGTCATTTTATTATAAGTATTTAAAGCTAAAATTTTTCCTCTAAGCACTGCTTTCACAGGGTATTTGTATTTTATTTATCATTCAGGTCAACATGTGTCCTAATAGTTATTGTCAGTTTTCTTTGATTCGTGGGTTACTTCAAAGGTTATTGTTTAATTTCCCAAATATTTGCAAATTTTCCAGGAAACCTTTTTCTTTTTCTTTTGAAATAATTATAGAATCATAGAAAGTTACAAAAATAATAGAGAAGTTCCATGTACCCTTCACTCAGTTTCCCCCAATGGTACCATTTTATGTGACTATAATACAATATTAAAACAAGGAAATAAGGGGCGCCTGGCTCAGGCAGTTAAGCGTCTGCCTTTGGTTCATGTCATGATCCCAGGGTCCTGGACAGTTTTCAGATTTTCACCATTTTACATGCACTCACTTGTATGTGTGTCTGTATGTGTATAGTTCTATACAATTTTATCACATGTGTAGATTACTATAACTACTGTCACCATCAAGATGCAAAACTGTCCTATCACTACAAAGTCCTCTCATGCCACCCCTTTATCCCTTTATAATCATACCAATTCCTTTCACCTCTCCTATCCCTAATGTCTGGCAACCACTAATCTCTTCTCCATCTCTGTAATACTATCATTTTAAGAATGTTATATAAATGGAATCATATAGTTTGTAACCTTTTAAGATTGAAAATTTTTTCCACTCAGCATAATCTCTTGAGATCCATCCAAGTGGTCATGTGTTTCATGACCAGTTGGTCATGAAAGTAAGTTTCAATGAGTGGTGTTCCATGGTATCGCTGTGCCATGATTTGTTTGCCCATTCACCCACTGAAGGGCAATGGAGCTGTTCCAATTTTTTGTGATTATAAAACTACAATGAACATTTTTCTACATGTCTTGAGTGGACATGTTTTCTTTTCTGAGGCAATGGGCCATATAATAATGTATGTTTATAAAGAAACTGACCAACTGTTTGCTGGAGAGGCTATCCCATTTTACCTTTACAGTTGTAACGTATGAAAGATCTAGCTTCTCTTTATCCCTACCCACATTTGCTATTGTCACTATTTTTTTTAAAGATTTTTATTTATTTATTTGTCAGAGAGAGAGAGAATACAAACGGGGGAGTGGCAGGCAAAGGGAGAAGAAGACTTCCTGCTAAACAGAGAGCCCCATGCGGGACTCTATCCCAGGACCCTGGGATCATGACTTGAGCCGAAGGCAGACGCTTAACTGCCTGAGCATCCCTGCTATTGTCACTATTTTTAACTTTAGCTTGTCCAAATAGGTGTGTAATTCCAGGTATCTTTTTATGTTGGTTTCTAATTTATCATTATTTGGTCAGAAGATATACTCTATTAGATTTTAATTCTTTGACGTTTATTAAGATGTCTTTCATTACCCAGCATATAGTCTATCTTGACGAATGTTCCCTGTGGGTTTGAAAGCATGTAAATTCTGTAGTTGGGTACAATATTTTATTAAGTTGGTATTTTATCAAGTTGGTTACAGTGCTGTTCAAATATATCTCTCTACTGATTTTTTCCCTCTCTGCATCCTAAAATTACTGAGACAGGAGTATTAAAATCTTTCCAAGTATGAGTGAAGCGTTGTCCATTTCTGTCATTTTTCTTTATGCATCTTGGAACTCTATTCTTAGTTGCAAGTACATTTAGGATTGACATATCTTCTTGATGATTTTTTCTCTTTTTTTTTTTTTTTTTAAAGATTTTATTTATTTATTTGACAGAGAGAGACACAGCGAGAGAGGGAACACAAGCAGGGGGAGTGGGAGAGGGAGAGGCAGGCTTCCCGAGGAGCAGGGAGCCAGATGCGGGGCTCGATCCCAGAACGCTGGGATCATGACCTGAGCCGAAGGCAGACGCTTAACGACTGAGCCACCCAGGTGCCCCGATGATTTTTTCTCTTATCATTAAATTTTTTTCTCTTTCCTTATGGCTTCCTTCCTTCCTTCCTTCCTTCCTTCCTTCCTTCCTTCCTTCCTTCCTTCCTTCCTTCCTTCCTTTCTTTCTTTCTTTCTTTCTTTCTTTCTTTCTTTTCTTTCTTTTCTTTCTTTTCTTTCTTTTCTTTCTTTTCTTTCTTTCCTCTTTCCTTGTCTCTACCTCAACATTGGGAGGCTGCCTACACGAGTCTCCATCCAGGTCCCAACAACAAACACTCTTTCCACTTGTCCTTTCTTTTTTAAAATTTTTTATTAACATATAATGTATTATTTGTTTCAGGGGTACAGGTCTGTGATTCATCAGTCTTACACAATTCACAGCGCTCACCATAGTACCTACCCTCCCCAATGTCCATCACCCAGCCACCCCATCCCTCCCACCCCCCTCCACTCCAGCAACCCTCAGTTTGTTTCCTGAGATTGAGAGTCTCTTATGGTTTGTCTCCCTCTCGGGTTCTGTCTTGTTTCATTTTTCCCTCCCTTCCCCTATGATCCTCTGTCTCTTTTCTCAAATTCCTCATATCAGTGAGATCATATGATACTTGTCTTTCTCTGATTGACTTATTTCCCTTAGCATAATACCCTCTAGTTCCATCCACGTCGGTGCAAATGGCAAGATTTCATTTTTTGATGGCTGCATAATATTCCATTGTATATATATACCACATCTTCTCTATCCGTTCATCTGTAGATGGACATCTAGGCTCTTTCCATAGTTTAGC